AAAGCCTAGTTTCCATCTGTTATTACGTAATTGACTTTCTTTACCCATTTTGGATTCCTTCTTATGGCCTCCCTTACAGCTCACTACTGTTGTCTCACATACTTTTTTTTTAAGTTTTGATTACAAAATGTTCAGTTTTCAGATTTCTGTTTTCTTTCAAATGTGCTATCATTTAAAAAAAAACAACACAATGAATACTTATATTCTTGAACTTAGTAGGCAGAGTTCTGGAGACCTGTTGGTCAATTTTTATTGATTTTTTTATCCTTGATGTCTTGTCCCGTTATATGCCTAATTACCTTTCTCTGTCAAACACTGTATCTGAAAATGGTTTTGAGACTTAGGTTGATATTCCCTTCCTCCAGAGTAGCGTTCCCATTTGCTTCTGCTACGCACCTGGAATATCAGGAACTCCAGGTCACTTCACTCTTCTCAGTGACTGGCCTTTCCCAGCCGCCTGGGGGATGTGAAGCCGAGCTGCAGGCTGTGCCGTGACTGGCATGTTCCTGTCTAACCCTCTCCTGGCACATTCCTATGACACAGCAACTCAAATCTTAGAGTTTCTGCGATAATCCCTAGACTCCAACCATTTCCCCACCAGTGCCACAATAATGTTCTTATCCACCACTTTGGGATCACCAATCGTACTCAACCCTGAAATGCCATCCTCGCAGCTCTTGGCCCAGTAATTCTGCACAGCCTAGTTAGCAATTCAGTTCTATCTTTATCTTGTCTAGCTTGATTAATGCCCATCAGTGGCAGGACTGTTCTGAATTACCTACTCTGTTACTACTGGTAGGTCCGTAACGATAGGTATTTTAAGTTTATCTTTTATTTCCTTAAAAGATAAAAAAAATATAATTTTAGGCTCTGTGACTAATATTTACAAGGCCCTGCAGTTCCAATTTCTGCCTGCTCTTACTCATAATGAATTCTGTGCTTATTTTTTTGTTTTGTGTTTTATTGATTTCAGAGAGGGAGAGAGAGAGAAACATCAACGAGAGATAATCACTGATCAGCTGCCTCCTGCATGCCCCCTACTGGGGATTGAGCACGAAACCTGGGCAAGTGCCCTGACTTGGAATCTAACTGTGACCTCTTGGTTCATAGATTGATGTTCAACCACCAAGTCACACCGTGTAAAATGATTTGAGAAGAGCCCTAGCTGGTTTGGCTCAGTGGACAGAGTGTCAGCCTGTGGACCAAAGGGTCCCAGGTTTGATTCTGGTCAAGGGCATGTACCTCGGTTACAGGCTCCTCCCTGACCCAGGCCCTGGTCAGTGTGCGTGCAGGAGGCAACCAATTGATGTGTTTCTCTCACATCGATGTTTCTGTCCTTCCCTCTCTCTTCCACTCTCCCTAAAGTCAATGGAAAATTATCCTTGGGTGATGATTAAAAAAAAATGATTTGAGAAGTTATCTGAGGCCTAGGATAAAGGTGTTTTCTTCCAATGGGGACTTGAATATGCTTGTTAGGTTCCTAGGGACATCACTGCTCAGTCAGGCAATACTTTAAACTCAATGCAGCATCTGAAATAATACAGCGATATGAACCTGGGCAAATCTAACCTGGGGTGAGTTGTGGTCCTCACTCTGCAATGCCAAGCGTGTCCGTGGGTAAGTCAGGAGAAGGCTCTGGGGTCCTCTCTTTGTGAAAGGAAAACCTCCTATTAGATTTCATCACGTGGGCATTACTGCTGTCCCCTCACTCAGGAGGCCTACAAGTCATAACTCACATTTGCCAAACGCTCTTAGGGAATGCAGTTATAAGCACAATTTTTACAATTCTTGCTTTTTCTTTTTTTAAAAAATATATTTTATTGATTTTTTACAGAGAGTAAGGGAAAGGGATAGAGAGTTAGAAACATCGATGAGAGAGAAACATCGATCAGCTGCCTCCTGCACACCTCCTACTGGGTATGTGCCTGCAACCAAGGTACATGCCCTTGACCGGAATCGAACCCGGGACCCTTCAGTCCGCAGGCCGATGCTCTATCCACTGAGCCAAACCAGTTAGGGCTCTTGCTTTTTCTTTAACCTGGTAATTATTTAATTTCTTCTTAGCTCTTTGATGCTTTTAAGAAAATTAATTTTTTGCAGCATTTTTAGATGATTTTGTTTGTAGAGTTGGTGCAAAGCCTACACCACCATATTTCTTACAGAAGTGGCTGAAGTTTGCTAAAAGCTGTAACAAACACAACAGTTTACAAACTTTTTATTTCTGAACAGATCCACAGAACTCAAAGGGCCAGAAGGAACCTAGGCTTCATCAGTGTCCTGATCTCTTCTACTACACGAGTGTTTCTGCGCATCACCAGTTTAACCACTTGCTCTACGGCAGCTCTCAGAACTTCCTGAAAGTTACCCCAGGAAAACTGCATCCAGCAACAAGAGGCGGCATCGGGTGCTGAGGTCTAAGTGAAGAGGTAAAGCCCTCACGCTGCCCACACCCCACTGGTCACTGCCAAGTGCCTTCAAATCCTTCACTGGGTACTGGGCTCTGGCTCTAATGATTCTGGAACTCCAGGCAGTTTTCCAAACAAAAGAAGTGGTTATTTACAGCCCTAAACTGAAATCATAAATGTCATTTGCTGAATTTCACAGAAATGTCAGTATAACTCTCCCAACAAAATCCCACATAAAGTGAGTCCGCCTGGGCCAGGTAAAAAGGGTTTTAGTTATAAAATAAGAAAGGGGCCTGACTGTGGGTTCGTTCAGACTGCCTGGTGGTCCTGCAGTATATACTCTGAGGACAGCTTTGCAGCAACGTTTCTGATATAGACCATTTAAACTGGGAGCCAGACTACATTTTTCTCCCCAAAATTATAAGGAATCAGTGGTATTCCTGTAAATTGCCCCTGTGTGAATGAAATAACTTTACTTAGATTTTCATCACGAATACCCTCCTTATAAAGATTATTTTACTTTTTCCTCAAAAATTCTGTGATTACTTTCATCTAAAACAATATTCACGAGATAAGGTGTACACAGTGGTATTTTCCAGCAATTGCCCTCAGTCCAAAGTGTAAGTGCCCTTTATAAACCCTTTACAGTTATTTTACGATAACTATGGGGATTTTTCCCGGGCACAGCAAACCTCCCACACCACGTCTGACATCGACCCGGTCCTGAACCCCGTCCCTCAGCGTGGAGGCTGTGGTCCTGCCCGTGCCACGGCCCACACGCTGTCTCCGCTCCACACAGGACCATTGTCTGCGGCCAAACGCAGCTGAGCACCACCTTGTAAGTAACTGGTCATAATTCCACCCCCGGGCAACGTCTTGACCAGCCCAGCCGCAGTGTCACCTGGGAACTTGCTAGAAATACAAAATCTTGGAACCCACCCCATAACCACTGAACCAGAGAGCCAAGGGCAGCCAGCAACCTGTGTTTTAACTAGTCCTCCAGGCGATTCTGACACGGACTAGAGTCTGGGTCCTGCTCCAGGGACATTCTCATGTATTTGCTCTGACACAGGAATGTGCAAGCAGCTCGCGCTCGCTCTCTCTCTCTCTCTCTCTCTCTCTCTCTCTCTCACACACACACACACACATCCAATTCCTGAAAACAAATGTTTATGCCAGGAGAATGGATTAAAAAACTGTAGTATTAACACAATGAAGTATTCACTGTATAACAGAGAAAATAAGTGCAAAACATCTATACTTATAAGCTTAAAAAAACTTAGAACCATAATTGTGAATGTTATAATCCACAAAGGTCTAGAGTATATTTTATAAAGGTCAAATACAAGCAAGACTAAGTAATATATTATTTAACAATACATTTATGTGATAAAACAATAAACCTATTTTTAAAAAACAACGAAAAAACCACCCCTTTAATTCTCTGCAGTGTTTGCCCGGAGGGAGCCGAAGTGGGTGGGTGAGGCAGGATCACACCAGGAATAGTCCACTTCTTACACTGGGGTGGTGAGTTCACAGTTGCTGGTTGCACTTAAGTTACTTTTATCACTACAGTCTTTTTAAAGTATAAAATGTTATATAATAAAGTTTAAACCCAGAAAATAAGAAAAAAATATATGGCCATTACTTTAAATTAGGAAAATTAGAAACCACCTAAGATATAAATTGTGTAAACTGTGACACATTTTTTTGGTTAAAAAAATGTTAAAGACATGAGAAATTATTCATGATAAAATTTGACATAAAAATTTTTAAAAACATGTATAGTAAAAGGATTAGAAAAAAGTATAATGAAATGTCAACAGTGGGCATTACAGGGAGTTTTATTTCTTTGTACATTTAAAATTTTCTATAGTGAATACTAAAGACTTGTAAAATTATTAAGGACTAGAGGCCCGTTGCACGAAGAGATTCGTGTAATAGGCCTTCCCTTCTCCTGGCTGCCGGCACCGGTTTTCCTCCGGCACCCGGGACCCAGGCCTTCGCTCCAGCCGGAGTCTTCAGTCTTCACTCCACGGCTTCGCGCCTACGTATGCAAATTAACCGCCATCTTTGTTGGGTTAATTTGCATACTCTCCTGATTGGCTGGTGAACGTAGCGGAGGGACGGTCAATTTACATGTTTGTCTATTATTAGGTAAGATATTTTCAACTGTCATTGAAACATTTAATGATTGTAAGTCAATAAAGAAAACAGCCAAATCTGCTGGTAGAGGAAAATTGGTGTTTTGTGAAAATCTATGATCTATGAGCTTTATGACTCAAAGCTGTATATTTTCTGCTATAAAACTGTATATCTTTATTGATATGATTCCATTTAAAATAATTTCATTTTGTTTATGTGGAGAAAAATATGACTGAGGAAACCATGACCTAAGGAACATTTTTTGTTATTGAGGACTTCATTAAAACAACTGAAAAAAGGTCAACTTAATTAAGAACAAAAGGAAATCATCCGTCAACGGAAGGCTGACTGGCTTTTGGAAACAACAGAAACGCACACGCCAGCCTCTGCCCGTCGCCTTAGAGAGAAAGACCCACAGAGACGGGGCCGAGGCCAGAGGCTGGTTCCTACCTCCTTCTCCAGGATCCTCGCGATCTCTCCCAGGGTCCGATCCAACGCGGAAACCTTATTGTTTGCCCACGACCCACTGTCTTGGACTTGCAGCTGTTTTAGAAGGTCTTTGGCCAGGCGCTGAAGCCTTCAACACAAAATGAAAGGGAAGGAATGAGTGACAGGGAATGGCGCCATTCATGAGTGAGACCACAGTATCTCATTTTTCTAAGCTTTTTGAAACAAAAGTTACTCCCATTATTGTATTAGAAACTGCTCCCAAGAGCACCTGCGGGGAGAAATACAAGCAACCACCCCCAAGGCTGGTGCAGCTTCCTGGTCACCAACCATCCAGTCCTCACGCACAGCAGAAGCGGACGGCACTGTCTGTGCACGGGGCTGGGGAGAGCAGTTGTGGCCGTCACCACCGTGAACAGAACTGGAGATGCCAAGAGGTGAGTACAATGGCAGAGAACCTGAGTGTAACAACCTGAGCAGGTTTTTGTTGCTGTTGTTCATCCTCACCCAAGGATATTTTTCCCATTGCTCTTTAGAGAAAGTGGGGGGCGGGGGGAGAAAACAGTGATGTGAAAAAGACACATTGACTGGTTGCCTCCTGCACACGCCCCAACTGGGGGCAGGGAGTGACCCCAATGAGACACTTTGGTGCACTGACCGACACCGGCCAGGTCAGTTTTCCATATTTTGATTTAAATCTAAGCTGGCTTGGACATGTTATCAGCATTGTAAACTCTCAACGTCAAACTCCCCGTGGTCCAATTTACAAGCAATTTGGGATTCCCTGCCGACTGCTCATGTCATTTACTTAGAAAATCAAGCTATTACCTGCATTTCACCAGGAAATACTACATATTACCTAGATTCTGGGGTTCTTTAGTAAGGGGGCTGCTATCCTATTTCTTGTGGCCCCTACTTCTTCTGTTTCTCTGTGAGCAATCTTTTCCTTTCCACTCACTTGCTTCAGCATCTCACCAGCTGACACTCACTAACCAGTGATGGCGAACCTATGACACGCGTGTCAGAGGTGACACGCAAACTCATTTTTTTGGTTGACTTTTCTTTGTTAAATGGCATTTAAATATATAAAATAAATATCAAAAATATGTCTTTGTTTTACTATGGTTGCAAATATCAAAAAATTTCTACATGTGACACGGCACCAGAGTTAAGTTAGGGTTTTTCAAAATGCTGACACGCCGAGCTCAAAAGGTTCGCCATCACTGCACTAGACCCTCGCCCCGTCTCTCCAGTGTCCTCGCTCACAGACCCTGTTGCTGACCTTCACCTTTATCTGTGATGGATCCCAGAGGCCGTCGTTATGACCACGTTCTTGTAAACAGGTCACCTCCCCTCTCGTTTTGTTGTTACTCCCAGTGCCACCCCCGCAGTGACCACCACTGTGCGGCTCACACTGGGGGCGAGGCTCCATGTCAGCGCCCTGCGCCCATTAGTCTTTTTAGCTGATTGGTAAGTATCTGCCGGGCTTTTCCACTCCATGCAACAGGCTGGTCTGACTGATCGGGATCCGACCCATCTGCCAGGCTGCCCCTGCCCATTCTCCACAAAGACTCGCTTCACACATTCCCCAATCCCTTCAAACCCCCCTTTCTTTCTCCCTCTTGCTTTCATAAGATCTTACATTTCACAGAGCAATGGAAGCTATTGTAATGAACAAGAAAATTCTCAAGCCTCTCTGCACGTCACCCACACACGCTTGTTACAGTTGAGGGGACTGACCCTCCCGTGTGGGCTGATGCACCAGAGTCTACGCTCGGCGCTCTTCTGGGATCTGTACCTTCTCTTCTTCCCGCTTCAGTGTCTCTGCAAATGCTCCCACCTCATCATCATCTGGAAAAGTCCTCCTGATCCCTTATCAGCGTCAGCGTTTTACTGGTTGACCAGCCCTGGCCACTCGTCACACATCTCTCCCTCCAAGAGCTCCACAGCAAAGCCTCCTGCGAGGAGGGGACGCTCCACATCGGGACTGACATGGCGGCTGCTGAGCCAGGCAGTGGTCAGTGTGACCGAGGACGGGAAGTGTAAGCCGCACTAGTTTTAATGTTGAAATATAAACAGCACACGTGGCTGGAGGCCGTCATGCTGGACGGTGCAGAAGGCAGGAGGGACTCCAGGAGAGGGTCCTGCCTCCTGCTTGCGGCACAGCCACTGCCCAACATGCTGCCTCCGCACACGTGCCCCCGGCACACCGCCAGGGAACGGCCGAGAAAGGGTCTTTTTGCGTTCTTAACCCATCCACAACCTCAGAGGTTCCACAGCACTTTCATGTACAAAACCTGATTTAATCCTCTGAGAACACTGTCCCTTAGTATTATCCCTGTTTGAAAAATGAAGAAACTAAGGCTCAAGCAAATCAGGTGACTTCCCAAGATCTCGTAACTGGTAGAGGTGTTACTGGGACAGAAATCTAGGCATGCGATCTTTAAATCCCAGGTTTTATCTCTATACCATATCAGTTAATTCAAGAAAGGACATTTATTCTCAAACTAATAATAGGCTAGAATACAATTTCATCTATAGCTGCATTTATGTAAAAATTTCTCCAAAAAGGCAACAGCAAATGCAGCTAAAAAAAGACACTGGTGAATTCCAGTTTAAACCTCAGCTACCCATGTGAGGTTACTGTGATATGTGAAACAATGAACACAACTCTAAAGTCAAAATACCTGTGCTTGAAACCTGGCTCCAGCACAGACCACATGTGTCAGCCCGGGAGGTCATGGAACTCTCCGAAGCTCACTTTCTTCATCTTGAAAGTGGAGGAAATGTACATATATTTCCTCTCCAAGCTTTGGAAGATCACAGGTAAATAATGCAACATAGCGAACATCATTCACTACAGTGGACATTCAATAAATGTTCAACTATTATTACTATTCATTGACAGAAAGTTCTCAATCTAACAAAAGGAAAAAAAAACCAGTAAGAGCAACATTTTTTTCCCCTCTAACAGTTAGAGTCTAACTGAATATGGGCTGGAGTCCCATCCGATTAAAGTTACTGACCTTATCATGTGGAAGAATATTGGCAGCGAACTTCACTGTGTGATAGATAAGCAGCCACTTCAGCTCTTGGCTGAACAAAGACTGCGCACCATGTAACTAAATAGCCAGCCCAGCAATGAATGCACAGGAACCCAGCAGTACTCTCACCAGGAATGCGCACATTCCACGGAAAACCGGAGTGACTTGGGGAGGACAGGACCATTGTAATTCACAGAACACAAGAGGCTTGTATTTCACCCCGAGGTAAATCAAACCCGGGATTCATGTGAGCCTACCCTCCAAGGAAGAGCGCCAAATCCAGGGGACGCTTGGGTAACCTGAGCCAGCCCTCTGCTCCACTGCTGCCTCCACAAAAGCACCACGAGTAAAACTGCCCATCTCGAGAGCAAATGCCTCAGATTTTGATTCATGCTATAAATAATCACAGGACGTCACAGCACGAAGCTATATTTTCCTTACAGGGCAAAAATAGGAGCCGTGAGAGGGTGCCGTTTTTAACACAGAACACGTTATTCGGATTACTTCTGGCAGATAATTTTTCTAGCATGAAAGAGAGTGGAGGCTTTGTAACTCCTGGGCTAAAACATGAGAAGTGTCTGTCAGGTAAATGATTTTGTGGAGAATGTTGTACAGTCAGATATTTTCTTCTCAAATTTGAACGAATTCCAACAATAATTCTAAGTTCAAATCTGTCACTGGTGAATGTGAGATGTAAGAGTATCTCTGGAAGGAACCCTACATTTTATCACAGTGAAATTTGGGGGAGTTTGTTGGGATCACCGGGAAGATCTGCACAAGTGTAAGAAGAGACGGGGTCCCCTCTGGTGTGTGGACAGAAAGACAAACACTTTCTCTTTTCTTATTTTCACCTCCTCTATTTGAAAGGTACGTGGTTTAAATTTAGGGCTATTGGTTACCCTTCTATTTCTTTTAAAATATATTTTATTGATTTTTTACAGAGAGGAAGGGAGAGGGATAGAGAGTTAGAAACATCGATGAGAGAGAAACATTGATCAGCTGCCTCCTGCACGTCCCCCACTGGGGATGTGCCCGCAACCAAGGTACATGCCCTTGACTGGAATCGAACCTGGGACCCTTCAGTCCGCAGGCCGACGCTCTATCTCCTGAGCCAAACCAGTTAGGGCTACCCTTCTATTTTTAAACAATATGCTTAACCTTTATTTTTAAATATAAGAGCTCAAAAAATCCCCACGTAATCCATCAGTGACTAGATGTTTAAAATCATGAAGCGGAGTGAGAAGGCCGAGGGAGTGATTCTCTATTAGGAACAGCGATGCTGGAGGTCAAGAGGAGGAACGAGAACCAGGCAAAAGGTCAGCAGAAAGCAGTCTGTCCAGTGAGAGGACAACCCAGAGCAGCCGGGCGGCCTGTTGTCACACACAAGCCCCTGAACTGTGACCTGCTGGACTGACGTGCGGGCTCCCCGCAGGGGGCTGTGGACTTGGCCAAATGACTTGCTCTGGCCATGGGGCTTGAGGGGCGTGACATCCCCTGTGGATACTGGTGCTGCAATCCTCACCAGAGCGAGCCAAACCACCTCACGAGCGTCCTGAAGGGACTCTGCACGTGCCCGAGTGGCCTCCCACTCCCAGGGCCGAGCCAGACTTCCACACAGGCTGCCACGGGAGCAAGGAGAGGGAGCTGCAGCAGAGGCCTCCGCTGTTCTGAGGCCACGGCTCAGAGTGGCTTCTGCCGAGGCCTGTGGGTCAAGCTGGTCGAAAGGTGAGAGCACATTTAAGAGGAAGGGAAGCGAGTCCACCCCTTGATGGAGAAGTGGACATGTTACAGACACACACCCGCAGAACCGCTCAGCTTCCTCTGGACATCTTTGTAAACACTACACCACAGTCCTCAAATTATTAATTGTCTTCAAATTCTTGACTCTATTTCTAGATTCTTTTTAAAAATCTCTTCCCATCAATATGTATTATTATTTATGTGCCAATGAAAAGCTGTTTTAACTACATATCTGTTAGCTTGGTCCTAATTCAGTCTCCTTCAAAAAAATTTTTTTGTAGAAATTCTCATTTATTTTCCCATATGTTCTTTTTCCAAAAAATTTATCTTTATTGTAAAAAACATTACATATGTCCCCCTTTTATTCCCTCAACCCACCCTTGCCCCCTCAGGCCTTCCCATGGATTCTACCTCTATTTTTAAAAGGCTGTTATGTAATTGGAATCACACTCCATATGTAGGAAAATTTATAGAGAATTTACCACACTGTGACTTCCATCCAAGAGTGTAATTCGTCTTTCCATTTACACAAGTCTTCTTTTATACCCCTGATAGCATGTTAAAGTTTTATTTTTATACAGGCTTCATACATTTCTTGTTGAGTATATTCTTAAATAGTTTATTTTTATATTGCTATTGTAAATGATGTTTATGTTCTCCAACTGGTTATCAGAAAGAAAGCCATTAATTTTCATGCCCTGGATATGTTGTTGCATAACTTCTGGCAAGTGACTGACCCTCTGAAGGCTTAGTTTCCCTAAGAAAAGCACCGAGTTGTGAGGAATAAATGAGTCCTCACATGTAAAGACCTGGCGTAAGGTGAGCGCGCAGTAAACGTTACCTACTATCAATATTATCACGTCCATTTGGTAATCAGCCATTTTACTGACTGGATTCTCTTGTTCTACTGGTTCTTCACTTGATCTCGGGGGCTTTTTAGCTCTACAGGATCCTCATAATCTTGGTAATTTTGTTCTCCTCTGTGAAAGGTTGTATTTCCTTTTAGAATGGCAATGGCTAATAGTTCCGAAAAATAATAAAAAAATTACCTGATGGGTATCTTATTTCTGAAAGGGGTAATATTTCTATTCTGAATGTAAGCGTTGCTACGTCAAAATGCTACAGCATGTCTGTCAACTATGCAATTAGAGACAGTGCACAATCTGTGCATCGAAGTGCTTCCTGCCCCTTTTCACCGTTAAAACGTCATCTCTGTATGTAACTATCTGGCACCATTGGCAGGTTTCACTGCGCACCCTGAAGCCTCCAGTGCGTGTCCTAAGCCCCAGATTCGCACGCCTTTCCTACGACCACCGCAACCTGCGCCCCACCATCAAGGAGAGACCCTTCCGCCCGGCACCTCTGTGGGCCGCCGATCAGAGAACAGCTGTTGCGTCGTTACACTCACACCGTACGGGAGTCTAAATCCTCCTCTGTCCAAGCGACCGTCACCAGACTCCTGAAAGAGGTCCCCACGCAGGAACCAGCAGTCGTGCCAGAACTACTCTGTCAGAACAAGGGACGTTTAGGACGACGTGGTTCTTGGCTGAGGGCCTGCCCTGTGCACTGAGGACTGTTTAGCAGCACCCGGGCCTCCACACACGTGGTGGCAGAGCACCATCGACCGAGCTGTGATTACCAAGAAGTTACCCCATATCCCAGACGGACACCAAGGTCCCCCCGGGAAATCGCCCCCAGCTGGACACCACTGTGTTAGGAGAGTGAAGTTCTAGGACCAGACACAAAGCCCATGCTCACAGGCACACGATGGCTCAGATAAGCTTGTTGCAGGCAGAGACTAAAGAAATGGAGAACTAAAATGTCGGATAAAATACTCACTTTGCTTTATAAGGTGAGTCAGAGCCAGAATTCTTTGTTTCCATTAAACTTTCATATTCCTTGGCCCTGAAAAGACAAAAGTGTAATCACTGTTATTTTGCTGCTAATTTTTATAACAAACAAAAACCTTGGCTGTGTTTTTCCTCTTCCAAAACTAGGGACATTACTACATTAACTTTAACACTTTGATTTCTGAAACTGCTTCTTTAAAATACTATAAATGCTGTCAAAAAAGACCTGAAAATACATTTTCTTTATGGATAGAAAGCAGATTCATAAAAACACTACTGAATTTAAAGATGCTAAAATCATGATTAACTTTGAAACCATATTAAGTTTCTATGAAGTAGTTGAGGTGGCTGAGTATCTATGAACTCAAAGGCATATAATATGCAGTATTAAATATAAAGAAGGGTAATTTCACTTTAGAAATAATTTCAAAGCCGGTAGAAACAATTTGACCAGACACTCAAGGCTCTGCTGTGTTTTGCTTGTGCTTTTTATACGGACTAAATGCCAAGTGTCTGCAAACAGCCACCATCTCACTCGGCTCCACTTGCCTGAACCAGGTGCCGACAGCCGCCCACAGCCACCGTCTCACACAGGTGTCACTGCAGCGATCCACTAATGTTGCTTAATCTGTGGGTTTCTCTTTGGGGAGGAAAAAGCTACTTTAAATTTTAACTGCTCACCCAAAGGGTCCTCCCTTCAAAGAATTAGTGCAACAACCTATGAAAGAATTAGCCACAATGTATTCCAACCCAGACAGCAATGGCAGGTGGAAAACTAAACTCTGCTTCATAAAAATGTGAAAGACACAAATTATAACAGGCCTAATAGGGAAAAAGCAAACTAGCACAGGTGATAGCTGGGAACTAAATAACTAAATCAGAATTAAATATTAAATTATGTATAATTTAAACCTACATATGCTCAATGCTATCGGCCAAAATATTAAGACATATAAATGGGAAAATAACCACTTGGCAGCTGCAAGTAATTGTGACCTCGGATGAAAGGTGGAAAAAGGAACTGTGAGGCCGGGTGAATCTGTGCCAGGCACTGTGCCGGGAGCTGTGTACGAACTGTTTCATACGGTCTGGAAACTCGACGTGGTACCATTTCCACCTAACAAAGAAGAAACTGCGGCTTTGCAAGATGTCTGTGATATCAAAGCACACACTTATCTGGGGCTTGAAGTGCAGGCAGCGAGAAGGTAAGAGCTAGCGTGGACACCGTGGGAAGAGGACACCTGAGGTTTTGAGCAAAGAAAACGACATGATCTGACTCACATCTGACCAGCCCGCTCTGGCTGGAGTGTTTACAACAGACTGAAGGGCACGGGCGGAAGCAGGGAGAGCAGCAGAGCAACACCCCAGGCGAGAGAGGGAGCCTGGTGCAGGGCCAGCAGTGACGTTTGATACATAGACTCTGAGTATATTTTAAAGCAAACCTAACATTATTTGCAGTTGGATTAGATGTGAGGTTAGTGGGAGAAGGAGAAGGGGCTGTGTTGGGGAGGGAAGAGCAGGGCCTTGCTTGGGACATACCAACTTGGAATAACACTGGAGACATAAACTTGGTAAGTGGAGGCTGTTTACGGCCACAGGACTGGGTGAGCTCGAATGTGCACACAGAGAGGGAAAAAGAAGTCCAAAGGGCCCATGGCCTCCCAGAGCCAGGAGGTTGGCAGGCTCTTTGCATAAACTAGAAATGAAGGACTATCATCCCCTGAAGTTTACTGCGGAACTACTTTTAGAAACTTGGAGGGACCTCAAAAAACACAATCAAAAAAACCTCTGCTGCCCTTTGCTTCAATGACCACTCTGAAGCTTTCATGATTCTGTAAAAGGAAATGGAGCCTTTCGTTGATTACAATGTGAAGTTGGAAACTACAGAGATGACCACCACTCACCATTATTCTAGACAGGGGTCCTCAAACTTTTTAAACAGGGGGCCAGTTCACTGTCCCTCAGACCGTTGGAGGGCGGACTATAGTTTAAAAAAAAAACTATGAACAAATTCCTATGCACACTGCACATATCTTATTTTGAAGTAAAAAAACAAAACGGGAACAAATACAATATTTGTATTTGCATGTGGTCCGCGGGCCGTAGTTTGAGGACCCCTGTTCTAGACCCACGTTTCCCTGTTCCCATGGGTCAAGCTTCTCCATCTTTCGAGATGTTTGGGAACAAAGGTATGACAGCACATTCAGACTACCTTCTCTCCGATTACCTACTCAGGAGGCACTGCACTGTGTCCTCGAACAAGACTCATCCGTCATCAGGGGGTGGCAGAGCTGGAGGTCACGCTGCGCCACCAGCTACCTGGGCCTCAGATGTCACTTCGAGGCTGATGATAAACTACAGGTCTGACAACTCACTTTCCATTTCCAGATATTTCTTGAACTTTTTCTTGTTGTGACAGGCAACCAAATTGATTAAGCCTAGTCATGGGATTTAACACTACAGCCAGCAGACTTCTATTTGTTGATTGCTATTGATTTTCTTTAATACTTCATTTAAAAATCAATAGCTGGGAAGAAAAATAGGCCTGGTTTACACATACTAGACATACCACTGCATGCTGGAGGAGGCACAAGTTTGGCAGGGCCGCTGCATCAAATTATAAGAAGAGCTCTTAGCAGGTGAAGGCAAGGGCTTTAGATCGATAGGCAGTTTTCTTTCTCAATCAAAGAAAGTGGCTATAAATTAGGCTCATCAGTGTTATTTTCGAGGCTTTCTTGAAGTAAACAACTTTAAACTTTTTGTGGGGGTTAGAGGGTCTTCCTTGAATTTACATTAAAAAAATACATCACTAATAGTTTTACTTTTGTTTTGTTTTTGTTTTTTTTAAAAATATATTTTATTGATTTTTTTACAGAGAGGAAGGGAGAGGGATAGAGAGTTAGAAACATAGATGAGAGAGAAACATCGATCAGCTGCCTCCTGCACGCCCCCTACTGGGTATGTGCCCACAACCAAGGTACATGCCCTTGGCCAGAATTGAACCTGGGACCCTTGAGTCCGCAGGGCGACGCTCTATCTACTGAGCCAAACCGGTTAGGGCTTGTTTTGTTTTTTAAGGGTAGTTATGGTACCTGGAGTTCATTCGGGCTTTTATCTTTTTGGCCTTTTTTTTATTTTTTTGCCGCTCTTCTCCATCTTTCAAAGGCTCTGGTGGAGCTGTACTTTCGACCACAATGTCAATAATGTACTTCTTTAAGGAAAGATGCTCCTGCAAAATAAATCAAATAATAAATATGATGACAAATAAAAAATAACATAGTATTGCTACAGGCTTACAGTAAGTATAAAAGATTATGCAGCCCAGCAGGCGTGGCTCAGTGGTTGAGCGTCAACCTATGAACCAGGAGGTCACAGTTCGAATCCCATTCAGGGCACACATGCCTGGGTTGCAGACTCAACCCTCAGTGGGATGTGTGCAGGAGGCAACCGATCAAAGATTCCTTTTCTCATCATTGATGTTTCTATCTCTCTCTCCAAAATCAATAAAAACATATTAAAAAATAAAAATAGCTATCATGAAATGGTATCTAGAATTGACTTCAAAATATTCTTTGGGGAGTGGATGAGATGTCTGTGGGCGAGGCAGAACTTACCAAGGTCACCACTGTTAGGGCTCAGTGATGAGTAAGTATATGGAGGCTCGTCACACTGTTCTGTCTACTAGGGGGTATGTTTTAAATTTTCCACAAAATACCAGTGTGGAAAACATTTATCTTGTATGAAAAAATAATTTGTACACCTGAATCTTACAATTCTGTTTGGCTCACCAAAGTAAGTGAAATAACAATATTCATCTCTCTCAAGCATCCTAGAGCTGAACCCAAGATGCAATTAGCACATGTGCGCACCATTCAAGTGCCGAAGTGTGCACTGCCAGCGTGAACCTGTTGTAAGAATAGGAGACAACCTCCTGCAGAAAAGTAGATGTAGACGGAGGAGGTGCTTATACAAAGAAGCATGGTGTACATTACTGATCCAATCACCTTCCTTACCTCGTCTTGTTACGTCTGAGGCTCTGGGACGGGCACAGGTTAAGTGGCTATTATCTTGGCCTAGAAACAGTGCTGACCAAAAACAGTCAGGCCCTGCTTTACAAAGGCAGTAAGACGAAGGTCCTAACGCTTTTCACTTCACTCCACACCCAAATCTGTGCGGACAAGGACACCAGCAGAATCCGTCCTGACACTGGTCTTGCTGCACAAGGTCTGGCATCAGTACACCTGAGCAATGTTTGCACACCTGTGTACACAGGCCAGCAGCCTCCCTCTCCCTCAAACTATCCTTAGCAGAAGTATAGTCCATACAATTTGGTTGCCTAATTATTTTTCCTCCCTAACCACTGTGCTAGGTTCCATTGTTCTAGATATGATTTGAGCCCTGCCCTGAACCATAGAACCTAATCTTTGGGCTCCAACCCTTGATGACATCCTTTCTTAAAACCCCCAGAAACTGGCTAGGATGAGAAAAACACACAGCAACCCCACCCCATCTTACATGAAATGGTGCTGCTTCAAGTTTTCTACAGCGCTGGCCTTCCCCAGACCCTCTGTTCTCTGTGAACAGCTAACCAGGCCCAGAGCCCCAGTTTGCTCAATATATAATAAAATGCTCAGGAAAAAATATAGATACTGTAAATAATGTCACTTTTGTAGTTACCATAAGGAAATAGAGAAATACTAAAATATCTCTCTATAAATATCTTCATTGTAGTGATATTTACAACAAAATATTAGTAGTAGGGATTTGCTTACACAAATTATGGCCCATGCATCAATATGAGACTGACAATCAGATTTCATGACTTTTAAGCAATAGTAACAATAAAAACATTTATCGTATAACAAAAAACAAAAATTCAGGACTCATATCTATGTAATAGTTTATATAGATATAAATAATATTTATATTATCAAAATGTTAACAGTAGGCATTATTCTTCCTAAAACATTCTATAATTACTATCCTCTATAATAAAAGCCCAATATGCAAATTGTCCCCTCGGGCGGTCGTTCGACCAGTTCGACCACTTGCTATGACATGCACTGACCACCAGGGGACGGCGCGGAACATGGTGGGCGTCGGCGACGCGGCGCTGGCAGGCGCTGCCAGCCCCGATGGGCCCTGATGACAGCAGGACCATGGCGGAATGGTGGAGGTGAGCGGGTGGCGCCAGGCCAAGGCGGGTGTGAGCGAGGTCCAATCGCCCCGCTGATTGCCCCACAGACAGCAACCAGCGGCGGCGGTGGGGGGCAGGGCCACCACCCGGCTCCCAGGCGCTGAGGGAGCTGGGCAGGGGGCCCGGCCCCAATCAATCGTCCCACAGGCAGGATGGTGGAGCATGTGAGGGGGCGGCACCAGGCCAAGGCGAGGTGCCAGGCGGGGCTGTGGGGCTGCAAGGCTGGGGGCATGAGCTGGGGCCCGATCCCCGCAGGCCACCCCGAGGGACGCCACCCATGCACGAATTTGTGCACCAGGCCTCTAGTATATTGATATTTTTGTTGCAAAATTAATAAGAAAATGCAAGGAAAAGCAAGCTCTTTAAAGAAAAGAAGGTCAATTTGTATAAGGGCACAGCTCTAGGCTTACTTGTGCTGTGGAAGAATGGGTATAACTGTGTAAAAATACACTCATCTTTTTGTATTTACTCAAAATTCTAATTAATATGCCACAAGCACAAGGAAAAGCAAAATATACTCTTAGTCTTTTTCCAAATATAAATCAATCAGGACCAAAAATCATCCAAAAGGCCCCGGATCTCCTTCCTTCCTAATGCCATTTGAAAACACACACTCCTGTCTTCAGAGTCTTGCTCTCCTACCAACAAGTTGGAAGGCTCTTATTAAAGGGGAAAAAAATGGTAATGGAAGTGACATGACTTGAGGTGGCAAACACACAATACAATATACAGAGGATATATTACAGAATTGTACATCTTAAACCTATATAATTTTATTAAGCAACGTAACCCCACTACTACACACACACACACACACACACGCACATATATACACACATATATATGTATATACCTGAGGCCCGATGCACGAAATTGGTGTGCATGGGGGAGGGGGGTCCCTCAGCCTGGCCTGCGCCCCCTCGCTCCTAACCATCTGCCTGCTCGCTCCTTACCGCTGGGCTCGCCACTCCTTAGCGCTGCCGCAGAGGCGGCTGCGCTTGCCAGCCATGAGCCTGACTTCTGGCTGAGTGGCGCTCCCCCTGTGGTCAGTGTGCATCATAGCAACCGGTTGTTCTGGTTGTTCCGCCATAATGGACGCTTAGGCTTTTATTATATAGACTAGAGGCCTGTTGCAGGAAGATTCCTGCAAGAATAGCACTTCCTGAGACCGGAGCGAAGCAGAGAAGGGAGCGAAGCCCACTGAGGCAGGCTTCACTCCCTTCTCCGCTGCCTCGCTTCCTCCGTTCGCCGCTTCGCCCTCTGCTCCGTCTCCGCCGCCTCGGCTCCCTCCCATGTCCTCTGCTTCGCCTCCCTCCCGTGTCCGCTGCCTCAGCTCTGCTCCCGTCTCTGCTACCCCCGATCCGTTCCCTTCTCCGTCACTTGGCTCCCTTTTGCAGTGCTTGGCTTCCTTCTACACTGTCTTCAGTCTTCGCTGGGTGCTTGTGTATGCAAATTAACCACCATCTTTGTTGGGTTAATTTGCATACTCTTCTGATTGGCTGGTGGGCGTAGCGAAGGTACGGTCAATTAGCATCTTTGTCTTTTATTAGTGTAGATATATATCTTATTTGACACTGTTCATTCTACATAAGCATTAAGAGCAGACAGTTTTGAGGAATGTTCCCTATTCACTTAAGTGCTGGATTAGTTGCAAAGTAACACAAGATGAAATAAAAATTATCTCTCCCCTCCCCCCGCCCCGCATAAAAAAAAAAGATCAGTTTTCTTATAGGCATAGAAGCTCAGATTGACACATCTATAATCATAAAAGCATAATAGGCTAATTAGACCGGACATCCTTCCGGACGACCTTCCGGACGAAGCCGGGGCTGCGAGGGAAGCCCGGGTCCCGGGTGCCAGAGGGAAGCCGGTGCCGGCAGCCAGGGGAAGGAAGGCCTACTCTTGCATGAATTTTGTGCATCGGGCCTCTAGTTAGCAATCACACTGAACTGTAAGTCAAAGTGTCTACACCAGGATAAATTCTGCAACTCATGACAGTGACTTCTCTGGGCCTCAGTTCCCTCACTAGTAAAATAAGGGCATTAGACAATAAATTCTAAAGTGCCCCTTTTATAACAGTCTAAGAATCAATGTGAAAACACCAAAAGGTAAAAACACTAAAAAAATGTGAAGTCTCGTTTTTAAGTCACAATTGTGACTTCTCATTTAAGCATCATTGCTATAATATGAAATACTAATAAATGTATGTAAGGAAACTAATACTATACAGACATGATCTCATCAGAGTTTATACCCCTCTTATTCTTTTAGTTACCTTTTATGGCATACTAGACCAAAGCTCTGGCCTTTCTAACATAATTTACTATATTAAATACTGAGGTTTATGATCCTGATATTCTATCTAACTCCTCCTAAAGGTTCTCATAATTCCTGATTTTGTAAAAGAGACATGAAAAAATTAAGCTACAGACAGGTTCATGATCTTTGGGAAGGAATGTAAAAGTTCTAAAAATAGGATATATAGGAAATATGAATGACACAATACAAGATTACTTCCATTTTAGAGCTCTCTCAAGTGTTACCTCAGAATAAACACATTTCATAAAATGTGGCACGTCGATACATCGAAGGAAATAATCTGCTTCCCATTATTTTGAAATACTATAATACGGACCGAGAATTGTTAAGGATGTTATTCTTCCTAGATCAAAAGGGTTTAAAGATCTCCTTTGAAAAAAGGACCAAAGCTTCATTACAATAATGACAAATATATTTTTACTTGAAAATTAAAATGTGGTGTGTTATGCTCAAGAGGCTTGTTTCTCTGGAGGCAAGTTTACTTTCAGGAGCAGCGTGGATGCCAAGTTACTAATCAGACGAGAAAACAATGCAGGGCTTTAACACTCTTTTGGAAAACTCATTTTTCTCTCATCATCATTCTGTACTTTCTCAACTTACTATGTGCCACGGGCTTGTGGTAACTGTGTAAGTTAAAGAGGGATGAACCTCTGGCTGTCACAGTTAACTCAGAATACGGCCAAAAGCATGTGTGGTAAACGATTATTTTGGTT